GTCCACCAGGGTCAGCAGATGGCCGGGGAAGGGTGGGCTCTGCTACATGTGGCCAGAGGGCAGACAGACCCTGTGAGCCCAGGGGCACTGCCAGGCCTTTCTTCTGTGCCCTCAGGTGCTACAGCCTGGATACTGCCAGGGCAGTAACTCACTTCATACTTTCCGCTGCCCCAGGAATCCTGTGCTGGCACCCCTTACCACACAGATGAGAAAACAGAGGCCAGGGAGGGCAGGGGTGTCACTCAAGGCCACAGAGGTGTGACATGTACTCATGGCTATTCATGTCCTGAAGAAGGTGGGGATCCAGCGCCCGTGTGGGCTAACCACCTGTTTACTGACGTGGAGTTGGGAGGCCAGTCTTCCTGTTGGCCACACTGTCCAAAGATGGGCAGGTTAAGACTGGGCAGCTGAGAACACCAACTCCCAAGCTCTCCATCCAGAGCTTGTCTGTGCGAGACCAGCCAGATGACACCAGGATTCAGAGCTCAGGGCACACACACAGGTGTGTTTGTGGAAGCATGGGCCAGAGCAGGGGTAAACCTGCTTACACAAGGATCTGACAGGAGGCAGAGAGTGACCAGAGCTACAAGGAGGAGAGGCAGTCCTGCAGGGAGGTATCTGGAAAGGACAGGACCCAGCCTGCAGACAAGAGCGTGGGCGTCCGAAGAAGTGAGAGGAGCAGGTATAAAGGCAAGGATGGAAAAGCTGTGTCTGAACGAGGCCCATGGAGGGACCCGAGTGGCTCTAGAGGTTGAATATTCACCACAGACCCTCCCTCGCCAACACAGGACACCTCTCTAACTCCATGCTGAGACGCCACAGGAGCCAAGAGCCCCCCCAGGCGGGGTAGGGTGGCTCACAAACATAGTGACAGTGCGACTGGGGACATGTGTCTTCTTTCAGTAGTGTTGCCTTTGAACCCAGGCTCCACAGGGCAGGCACACGGGTGGCTGGTGGGTCCCAGCGGCATCTGGGCAAATGGCAGTCTTGCTGAATGCTGTTCCAGGTAGCCCAGGAAAGGCCCCGGCAAAAACTTGCGCCCCATGCTGCCCTGCCCCCTGCCTTTCCCCTTTCTTTTCCCTCCCCTACCCCACTTTCCCATCTCTCTATCATTGTTCCTGTATTTTCAGCCCTCAGCACTTTTCCTGAAAGAGAACAGCTGGGCTGCTGGAGTCACAGAGGAAATATTTTTTTGACTACTTTGCAGATTCCTCTCCTCTATGAAAACTGACGCCACCACTGCAGACAGATTGACAGACAGACGGGAAGATAGTTATTTCCTTGCCTCCTTCTCCTGGGGTTCTGCTCTGGGGAAGGAATGGTGGTATTGGGGAAGGGGTTTGGTACTGGGTATCTCAGAGCATCATCAATCCCACTTTACAGATGGGGAGGCTGAGCCCCAAGCTCACCTAGACACAGCAGCCACTGAGTTTACAGTCACACAAAAGCCAGAGTTTAAGGAGAGCTGACTGTGTGCCAGGCACAGCAGCTGATGTGAACATGTGATGGCTTCAAGTCAGACACCTGGTTGGTGACACTTGGAGAGAGGAAAACAAGGCTCAGATGTGCACGTGGCTATTCTGAAAGCTGCAAGTGAGGCTTGACCCCACAGTTTTCCAGTCTTACCCTGGGGCTGGGCCACATTCCCACACAGATTGATGGACTGACTGACCCAATCCTGACTCCTATGGCCAGAGGGTGGGCATGCACAGGAGGCCAAGCCTACCTCAGCCATTGGTCACCCTCTTTGGTTTCAGTGACCTTACTGTGAGAAGAGGAGCCATAGTGCACTGAGTTTCAGGGGCCACACAAAGTGAAGTTGCACCATGAGTGACTTTCCCAAGGGTCACTGTCCCTGCCTAATTCTGCAGGACTGGAGGCCTAAGGCAGGACCCTACTCCCTTGGACTCCTAGTGTGCTTCCAATTCCCCTGCTAAACAGAGGATCTGAGGAGGACAAAAGAGGCCTGACCTAGGACTTAGGTCACTGCTAATGTCCCCAGAATCCTGCACAGCTTCTGCAGGCTCTCCCCTTTGCACCCATTATTGTAGGCCTTTGTATCTGTGTTAAGTGTGTGCACGTGGCGGTCAAAGGTCAGCCTCGGGTGTTGCTCCTTAGGCATTGTCTGCCGTGCATTTTTGGACAGGGCTTTTCATTAGTCCCTGTGTGGACTAAGCTGGCCTGTCGGTGGAACCCAGGCATCTGCCTGTCTCTGCCTCTCTTTCTTTGGGGATGTGGATACGTACTTCCATGCTAGATTGATGGGCCTCAGGTCTTTGCGAGCACTCTATCGACTGAGGTATCTCAGTAGCCGTGTGGTAGACTCTGCACAGCCCAAGTCCAAAGTGAGAGTGTGGCTCAATGACAGAGAACTTGTCTAGCATGGGCAAGGCTCTGAGATCACTCCTGGACCAGAAGAAAACAAAAATCACACACACGCACGCACACACGCACGCACGCACGCATGAATGCCAGGGAAGTGCCTTCAAGATACATCTGAGGAATTCCCATCACCTGGAGCAGACATGGGACTTACAAGGACAGAAGTCTGAATTTTCCGAAGACTCAGCATCCTCCTTGGATGCCCAATGTGTAAGTGTTTTAACCACACAGTGGGAATGCTTTTGGTCAACCTGTGGCCTAAGAAATTGCTCATGAATCCAAAACAAACAGGCTATGTGGTACTTGCCTGTGTTCAACATCAGTGCTATTCTTGGTAGGGCATAGGAGTCTGTTGAAGACATGTCTGGAGAGTAGCCTTGGAGAGGACAAAGTTGATGGCATAGCCAGGAAGAATAACTGAAGGACACAGAGTGGAGTGGGGACAGAGGAAGCTGGGGACAGATAGTTTATAAGTGCTCCGCCAGCTGATGCCAAGAGCATGGGTTGGGGGAAGGCTCCAGTGGAGAGATCAGAAACCAAGGCAGCCAGGAGGGCGGTAAGGGCTTTGTGGGGCCCTCTGAGCTTACCAGCTCCCAACACTGTTCATGGTGGGGCAAGGGGAGAACTGGGGAGGGGTAAGAGAGAGGTACGTGTTCCCCCACTCTGTCATGGCTCATGCAGGAAGCGATGGGAGGACAGAACAGGAGGGGATGAAAGGCTTAGCTCCAGCCTTGCTCAGCCACCAGGCGACCCTGGCTTCTCATTGGAAACTATAGAGGTGAAGGTACCCATATGGAACTACATTACGCCGGCTGGGGGAGGGGCTTGCAAACTGAAAAGTGGCGTGCAGATGAAGAGAAGGGGCCATGCCTTCCCTGTCGCTCTGCTGGTGAAGCACCAGGAGGCCAATTTGCTGTCTCCAGTGTGCTGTGTAAACAAGTGCACAGCATGTGCGCCTGTGTGTGTGTGTGTGTGTGTGTGTGTGTGTGTGTGTGTTTAAGATCAAAGGCTCTTGGAGACTATGCCATGGAGCCTAAAAGTGAGGGGGGCATTTCAAGATAATCTTAAGAGCAGAAAGAAAAAATTATTATGTGTCAAAAGGAATAGGGAGGCTTAAATGGCCCCCAGGCGGGACACAGAATAAAAGAGTCCTTGCTGTTATTTTTTGATTGTGTCCATGCTGGGAAGACTGGCAGAGGGTCGCCATGGCAACTCTGGGCATCCAGCAGGGGGCAACCTGGACCCTGCAGGTGTTGTCTGCGCTGAGCGGTGAGTCAGCCCGTTGGAGTCGAGAGACCAGGTCTGGGTCCAGTCCTGGCAGAACCCTCATCCTGAATTCCAGTTTCCTCCTATCCTGGAAGTCCCCTGAAGGGTGGGGAAAGGACAGACAGGAGTTGTACGGTGGAGAGGCCAGATATGGAAGTCTCAGGGTGGGGATGCAGTAAAGGCAGTGTGAAGGGCTGTCACAGGGGAGGAGAGAGGCCTTGTGTAGAGAGCACAGAGGATGGGGCAGGGGAGAGCTGGGTAGGCTGGAGTGTGCAGGCTTGGTGCTGGTGGCTGTCAGCGGCCACCCCTGAGCTTCTGCTGAGACAGTGTTTCCTGGACTGGATCTAGGGTGCATTTAGCCTCAACGGTGGCCTCCACGGGTCAGGATCAGACAGAGAGATGCACAGAGCAAGAAAACCTTCCCTGGGAAGACAGCTGTGGTAGAGCCGCCAACACATGCACACTCATACCCAGAAACAAGCTGGGTTTTTCTGCTCGTGTACGTCCGCACATGTGTGCATACGGAGGCCTGAGGCTGACGTCAGGAGTCTTCCTCCATTGCTCTCTGCCCATTTGTCCAGCTAGCCAGCATGCTCTGGCGATTGTGGGCAGGGATTACGGCCTTCTCATGGTTTTGAGGATCTGGACTCTCTCCCTCACACTTGCATGGCGAGAACTTCATCTATAGAGCTATCTCTCCTCCCCACAGAGGCCATGTTTAGGGAGCAAACTGGAGAAAGAGTGAGCTTTCTGTTTATGAAAATGAAATTGCAAGTTCTGCCTCCGGCACCCCATGCATTCCAGAGCACGACACTCAATCAGTATGTTCTGAGTAAGTGAATGATGACAGAGACTGAATGAACAGCGTTCAGAAAGCTGCATAGGAAGCTAGGAGGCAGTTAACACCTTCCCTCCACTAATTTGCAGGCTGGTATTGAAAGAGCTAAACAAGCTAATGAAACCCAACTGATCTAAAAATGGCAGGTGCTAGTGTTGCTGGGAGGCTAATGGAGTCTGAGCGTTGCGTGGCTTGGGCTGTACGCAGAACTATGGACAAATCAGAAAACATGGCCCTGGCTCCTTCTAGAGGTCAAATAACAAAACCTCAAATGTGTATGAAGTTATGGTTGGTACTGGGGCCATCTTGACCCCGGATTTCTCTCAGTCATGGTTGGCACTAACAAGCAAGAGCATTGATGCACGGGCCCTCTCTCACTCCAGGTTCTTGAAATCATGCTACGCAAACAGTCTCAAAAGGTGAACAAGCGCACATGAGCTTCTGGGCACTCGGTCAACAGAATTCCCCTAAGACAGTGGTCCCAGTCAGGCCAGTACCCTGTTGACCCCTTTACCTGCGGAACTGGCTACTTCTGTCCAGTTTGTGTCCAGGGAAAGGGGCTCGATGCTTTTAAGTCTTGAAGTCGTTGGGTTTCTGAATTGATCCTCAGGGATTCTGGGCTGAGGTTGAGCAAGAGAGGCCTCGGGATGCTTCTTAAACTCCGGAGAAGTCAGGGAAATCCAGAGTGGAAAATCCAGAATCCATTTCTCCTTCATGCCAGATCCCAGAGGGAGGCTCACGTGACTCCTGAAAGGCAGGCACAAATAGACCAAGGAGTCAACCAGCATGAGGGCAGGCTGTGACTCATTGACTTCAGGCAAATCTTTTGCTTTCTCTGAATTAAGGACTGAATAATGGGACAGAAGCATCCCTCACAGGGCCACTGCGGGGATCAAACAGGAAGGCAGGCACAAAGCGCTTCATCAACGAAAAGTGCCAGAAGGAATTAGTGCTACTCCTGCTGCTGAGAGCGATTCATTAGGTCCCTTTCTGGAGTCCCTGGGGACCCAGAAGCATCTCCAGGCTCCCAGAACTGCACCATGAGACGGTGGCTGACAGCTATTCTGTCTTTTCAAACAAACCTACCACTTCTCTTGCCCGTGGCTGCAGCTGGAGAAGGCACGTGGTGGTGGCGGTGGCGGTGGCGGTGGTGTGTGTATGTGTGTGTGTGTAGAACAAGTAAATCATTTCCCCCATGTCAATATATCCTCTAGGTGATGTCTGTCACTCATCTGGCACAGATACTAGCCTTCTGTCCCTCCATGACTGAGCTCCTGCAAGGCAGAGCAGTGTCTAGCACATAGGGCCTGGCTAGTGGGAAAAGGTCAAAGGCAGGGAAGAGGGTAAGGCCCTCACTCCCACTGCAGTCTCCTCAGTTTGAGGAGAAGTGCCTTCAGAACACCAAGGTCAGAAGTAGGGATGTGGGACTAGGCCCATCTCTGAATTGGGAGAGACTGAAACCCAGAGAAGGTCACAGCCCTATGGCTGTAGACTCAGGTCTCATCTGTGTCTCCCACTGTCCCCTACACACCAGGACTTACTCACTGGTCTTAAACTCTAGGGCACACCTATGCCAGGGAGAGTGGCATCTTTCTGTGAATCAAGAGGCAGGTCCCCAGCCAAGTGGGATACCCAGACCCCCTAGGCCCTCGCAGTGTTGAATGGAACATTTGTTGAATAGAATCGAATTTACTGTTCGATTGCAGGAGATGTAATTTGATCTGGGTCTTATGAAGTCCTTAATAGAGTTAAGGTATTACCAGGCTCTGCTGCTTTTTCATTTGCTACAAGAGGTTCTGGGCTGGAAAAGGGACTCAGCAGAGTAAGGAACCTGTCTGTTCTTCCTGCCCCAGCTGCCGTCATGCCATGCCCTGGGGAAGTTGCCATCTGTCTTCGTTCCAAAGCTAAAGGTCTTTATCTCTGTGGTAGGGATTGTCAGTGCTCATAATTTATCTGAGAGACATGGCCAGGAATGGGAAGGGAGGTGGGTCCCCTTAGAGTTGGGGGCCCAGGGGAAAGGAGCTCACTTTCATTAGTTACATTCTGTGTGTTCCCGTTAGTTCACTCAAGGCTCACAGCATCCCTGTGTGGCAGGTGCCTGAGGCCATCGTGAAGGGATGTTTACCAATTCTCTAGGTGATTTTTTTTTCATTCTTCAAGCTTGTGGCTAAGGATTATACTTCCTTGTCCCCTTCAGAGTTACATGTGGCTTGTGACATGCTTTGAACAATGAAACTTTAGTGGAAGTTACATGAGTCACAAGAAAAACTGGCCATGCTTCTTCCCGCTGCCATGGCAACTGTGGAGGTACATGTTAAAATGGTGGCTAGCCATCAGCCTGGGGTCTTGAGTGACGAGGAGACTAGTCTGTGTAACTGGCAGAGAAAGACACCTATGTTGTTTGAACTCTCAGGAGTTTGGTTATTGAGTTTGATGGGTACCATGCCACTATGGCCCCCCTTTTACAGATGAAGACATAGAGGCTGGGAAAAGTCCCACAGCGTGCTGTGGGAGCCAGAGGGGGTAAGGGGTAAAGACAGGACTTAGTTCCAATGCATGTGGTGCCAGGGCAGTGTCCTTGCCAGGCTGTAGTGGTTACCGCAGCCTGGCCATATGTGGTCAGTGTTCCTAGGCAGTGAGGACAGGGCCTGAAATCACTGTCTGCATCTCCTCTTCTGCTTCTTGCTGACTATTGTGCCCTGCAGTCTTCACAGTGGTCTGCTTAGAAATGCAAGATGGTGAGGCCTGAAAGTCAGAGGTCAGAGGTTGGACACTCTGAAAATGCAGCTCCCTCTAGTAGGGTGACCTGGATAAATCTTTTCTGAGTCTCGGTCCTCAAATACTGCCATTCTCCCTGGTCATTTCAGGAAATAAGTGAGGTTTTGACACATGTAGAACTCTGCTGTTCCTGGAGGCAGAGTCCACAGCCCCACCTCTGTACCCCACAGTCTCATGGGAAGAAAGCCAGATGTCCCTCCTTTGGAGCCCCTGGGCACCCTTTCATCTTATGGGCTCCTCCCTGGCCCCTAGAAAGACAGGGCAGCAGTGTGGCATGACCTGCCTCATGCCTGGAGGAGTGGGATGGGTCTGATTTGGCTCTTTCTCACTATCTGCCAGGGTAGTTACTCCCCGGGGCTTGGTCACACCAGGCCCCATACCACAGCCCTGCTCAGGTGGACATTCCTTCCAGGACTGGCCCATATCTCTAATTCACCTGTTGCTGGAGCCACAGAATGACCCTGCCTGGGCCTCTCCCAGGCCCACAGGAAGCCCCCAGCTTGGTGATATTAGCCCATTGCAGGGATAGAGTTTGAACAGTGGAGCCTGCACGTTCCAATTTTAGATGCTCGCTATGTCGCTTTTCAAAGCTCTGAGCAACCAAGGACAGAAATGAGAGAGTACAGACCTCAGAAAGGGTCCAGAGAATCGGGGATGTCAGGAATGGGGAAAGGCCATGTGATTTAAGGAAAAAAATCTACTCGAGGCCAGAACTAGTGATCAGAAGGGATCCTAGAGGCTGATTTGGCCCTGGGCTGAGCTCAGGGGAAGAGTGGCCCCTGATCCGTCCTCACCAGCCCCAGACAGCCAGCTGCTCCCTCAGAGCTGTCAGCCTGACTCTGCCGCTCTCCCTCCTTGCCTTCCTCCACCCCCTTCCCCTGCCCTTTTTCCCTTCCTAAAAACACAGAGAAATGGGATTCAGAAGCCTACACTGCCTGCAGAACACAGTTCAGCCTCCCAAAAGAGGAAATGCCAATGTGCGGGTTCTCATGGCAACTCCAGCTCCACCCCCTGCAGCCGCCCAGCGCCCATATGGTGAGATTCGAGCAGGGCGCATTGACTCAGCCAGCCCTGGGTCTAGCTGGGGCTGCCAGGAGAGGGCATGTTGGATTCTTCAGCTGCCCTTTGGCAGCCCATGCAGGGTCCAGCATGGCACTCAGGACTCTCTGCGGGCAGCAATGAGTGGGTGTTTCCAAGGTGGGTCTCTCCTCCCTCTGCCTTTGCTCTCTGATACAAGCCCTGGACTTAGGCGTTTCTCAGGAGGTACGGAAGAACATGGGGAACAGGAGAGCCTTATTATTTTTCTTCTTTCTGGCAATGGTGCCACAATGCCACAATGGCGGCCCTCCCCACCAAGCAGTGGTGAAGGTGCTAGAGCCCTGACCTCTGAATGAGGAAGCAGCTCAGGCCTTAGCCGAGCTGCCCTAGGGCACCACCCCTTCTGAGGGCACCGCTCCTCCCTAGACGCAAAGCTCCCATGCCCACGGGGCAGTGGCTGCCAGCCTGCCTTCTAGACAACCCTGCTTTTCCAGGCCAGCTGGCATTTCCCTGACTGATGTAGTGAAAGCCAGTGCCAGGGCTGGGGCCTGCAGGGCTGGTAGCTAAGGAGTGTCTTCTAGGCTTGGCACCCAGCTTTCATCCTTTGCTGGGACCTTTGGTACCAAGAAGCAGAACAGAAGGAGTGTTCCAGTCCTGGGTCCTTCCCACCTCCTCCTCACCGGACCCCAAAGCAGCCTGGGGGTCATCAGCTAGCCCTGGGCCGTCTTCTTTCTCGGGCAGGTGTGGCAGAATGGTAGGCCAGGCTGAAGAGGAGTGAAGACTGACCAGTCTGCTCCCCTTGCGCCCCTTCTCTCTGGAGGCTCTGAACCGTAAGCTTTCTATGTGAGCTCTTGCTTATATCTCTCTTGTTTCTAACCCTTCTAGGGGACATTTCTATACATGTCAGGGCCAGAGAACCCCAAAGGCAGTAGGCCAGCCCCTACAGGAACACATGAATGGACCTCACAGTGTGTAGGTCCATGTACAAGGTCACACAGCAAGTCTGGGACCAGGAGCAGTGTAAAGCAAAAGCCCGTTGTCTCCCAGCCTAGGCCCTGCTCAGAGTCCCATGCCTCTGCCTTCAGTTATGCCTCCTCTCGACTAAAAGAGGGATGGATGGGTAGATGGGGGCAGGGAGCAGGGACTGTGGAACAGATGGGCTTGGAGGCTCTAAGGGGGGGCTGAGGGAGGGGGAGGAGCCCTGGAGAACCTGGAACTCTTACAAAGTTGCGAGTTAAAACATTCTTCACACTCCCGCCTCCTTTACTGTTCTGATGAACCAAGACGTGACAAAAATGTGTCAGATTTTTTAAAAAACCACACACATACACAAATGCCAGGCCTGTAGCTGCCGCCCGCCCAAGCTTGGCCCATCTGCTTCCGGGGGTGGAAGGGAAGAGGCCTTAGCCGTCGCACCTCACTCTGGATGCCTCAGTCCTGGCCGGCAAATGGCCCAGGCCATGGTGGGAGGTCTTGAGGGGAAGGCCCTGCCCGGGCCTACAGCCCGTACCTCAGCTGCACTCACCCTGGAGCACAGTACTTAACCTCTTCACTCTGACCTGGGTGTAGCCTCCCTCGCACCTGCTGCAGTGGGGGGCCCAGAACTTGGAGAGCTCTTACTCAATGTGCAGACGGGAAAGAGTCAGTTCACTCAACAAACACCAGCTCAGCCCATCAGGCAAAAGAGACTCAGTGTTGGACAGGCGTGCCTCCCTGGCAGAGCAAGGCCAGACAGGCACAACTCAGCAGCTCTCGAAAGCGTGTAGGTAGACTGGGGCCTTCCAGGAAGAAGACAGCTGGGCTGGCAGTGAGGCCTGGAGAGACACTCAGCTGGGCCTCACGTCACTGCGAAGGGCAGGGGGCTTCAGCACAAAGTTCAGCACCCTGGGACATCGGTCCCTTCGGTAGCTATGCTAGGTTGTGTTGAGGAA